TTACAGCAGCAGTCTTCGGGTCCCTGTAATAAGCACCTCACAGTGACGTGCCAAGGTCCTCGCTGGATCTGAGGAGGAGGGAGGCGCCGCAGGTCGGGTGGGATACAAGAGCAGTTCCCGCCTGTTCTCAGCTACTCCACACCCTAATCGCAGGCTGCCGGGGAGGGCCTGCTGCCCTACGAGTTCTGCATTTTGGGACAGGAATCTCATGGTCTATTTCTGAGTTCCACCCCATTTCCTACCTCTTGCTGTACTCAGACGCCGATTCCCGGGAACATCCATCCTGCCAGGATGTTTGAGAACTCACTCGGGCTGGCAACATCCCGCTCCTTCCTGCGGTGACCTGGGGCGGGAGCCTCGCGTATCAAGTTCCCACGCTGAGCAGCGCTCCGCTCTCCTAGGGGCTCACGACTACCGTCAGGGTCAGCAGAACCCCTGCAGGTGTGCGGTCCACACCGAGGAGCCGCTCTGGGTGTGACGCATCCCATGTCATCCAGCAAGAGGCGGGCACTGGGGGTGCTTCGGGCAGTAGCAACCTGTTGTGCTTTTAAGTAGGTTTTCACCTGAAGAGATGCCAACATGGTGTGGAAACCAAAACCACCTATTTCAGTACCATCCTGAGCACCAGCGAACACCCAGCCTCTAGTTCCAGCGGGTTCTGGAGGGCGGGACCTGGCAGGAGAGGGGGGGCCCACATGAGCAGCCGGGCCTCTTGTGCCGTGAAGTCCTCCTCCAGCAGAAGGTAGGAACCACACACCGAGTGGGACAGAGGAAGCGGAGTGGCCCTTCCACGCCCCAGGGGCTCCCCTCCACCCACAGCCAGGCTTCCCCTTCCCTGAACTCAGCGCGAACCATGTGCCACCTGCCGTTAAGGGCCGCCAACACAGCGAGTGCCAGCCTCTGAGCCGCCTTAACCAAGCAGCTCCTTCCTCTGGGGACCCGCCACCACCCTCTTCAGGGCCCAGCAGGTGCCTCACAAACGCAGTCAGTAAAAGCAGCCCTTGCTCAGGGGGGCTGAGCTCTCAGGCCCCCTGCCAGCTGCAGGCCCAGCACCAACCTTGGCACCAGGGCCTGCGCCCGCCCCGAATGCCAAGTCCGTGAAACGCAGGAATCCCACACGCAAGGCCCACCTCTCCCTACCTTTAAAGTCTGCCAGGCAGACTTTAAAAGGGCTTGTCTTTTTCTTCAAACAGAGCTCTCTAAATTTCCGGGCATCACTGAAGAATGAGGTTGCTGAGCGCATCTGATGTACCTTACGGAGAAGGTGGCGTCAAAAGTCCTGAAAGGACCACCCGACATGCTGTTGAAGGCTTAGTGGGAACTTCTGCTCTTCACTTAAACCACAACAGAAAACCCAGCATCACTTTCTTCCTGAGGCAGGTGGTAGGTTACAGCAAGGGGAGGATTCGGGGGCCAGCACGTCGTGGACCACAATTCCAGTGGCCTGGAGGGAGTCCTCCATGGTCCTCTGCTTCATGGTCTGTGACCCCGGCTGCACAGCAACCACCGGGGAAACCAGGAGTGCATCCACGTGATGCCTGTACCGCACGGGTTCTGGGTGGCTCAGCCCAGGGCTTTGCAAAGCCCCTCAGGTGACCTGACTGCGGCGCCAGAGCTGAGCATCGTGATCTGATCCAACTTTTACAAACGGGGCAACTGGAACTCAAAGAGCTTAGCCCTCAGCCACGTGGATAATGACGAGTACAAGATTCTCTGGGGGCGGGGGGGAGGGCAGTTCTGCCTTCCCGGCACGTGGACGCACACGACGCCTACCCGGGCGATGGCCACTGGACAATACATATGAGCTTTTTTCTACAAGAGAATCCTGAGCGCCACGAGCTCTGTCGGCTGGGAATCGTTCGCGCTTTGCATCAGTGGTTTCTTCGTTTTGTGATGGGGACGGTCACCCCACGGGGTTGCGGAGAAAGAGTTCCCACCCTTGCCTTCCCTTGGGCTTGCCCCAGCCTCCGGTCTCTGGCCACGTCCACGTCCATCACCAGGTCCTCTCCTCGGGCCCCCAGGTCTCAGGGCAGCAGGTTCCCTCCTTCACACACACACACACACACAACACGTGTCTTTACATGTATTTGCCACCGTTCCTTGTCCTGAAGTCATGTTCTAGAGGCATCCACTCAGTGACAGCGCTCCTGTGTCCCACGTGGAAATAAAAACTGTGAGCGACAAGTAATGAACCTTCAAGGAACATTAGGAGAGTTATCCAACTGCTCTGAATTTTGGGGAACTGTAAAATTAATGTTGACTGCGCATGCTGAGCTGGTATTTTCTATTAAGCAAAGGAAAACTGAGGATATATCTTAACAAGCATCCAGAGGCTGAAGGCGGTCAGATCATCGAACCAGCCCCTCCTGCCAATTAAAATGCTGTGCAGGGCGTAAGCGGTGAGCAGGTCGCCCCGACTGCTCCCCTCCTAACGGTGCCTTTACTCACGATGCCAAGTTAGTGTCTGCTCCCAGGATGCCCAAGTCAGTCAGCCATAACTGATAATCTTGTCTCAAGATTATTTCCCGATCTTGGAGTTGAAATAACCTGACTCATTTTTATCAAAAAAGTAAAAAGGTTACAAGAATAAAGAGTCTAGAGAACTCTCTATATAAATTACAAAGCTACGATGCAATATCTTTAAAACAATTTCTCTACAAACTGAAGGGTTAAAAAAATATTTCAGTAAAAAACGTACATGTGTCCTTATGTGTAAACAGTATAACTGTGAGGAAAATATCTTAGTTTGAGGAAGTTTATTGTTACATTTTTGTAATAACAGATGAGGCACAACTATCAATAAAAAAAGACAATAATCGAGGGTAACAGTGAAATTAAAATAAAAAAAAATAGAAAAGCCTAAGGTTTTGGAGAGAAAAGTGACTATAATCTACGTGTAGAAAGGCTGTAGACGGCTTCAGTTGACCTTGCAGAGAGCGATCTTCTCGGATGCCGACCAATCATGGAATTGAGGGCCGGGCGCCTTGCAGGACTAAGCCGTCCACTCAGCTTACCGTGAAGAGGGGAGCCTGGCCGCAGCGGGGAGAGCGGGTCAGTTCTGGGCCGGGCAGGGGCCCCCCTCGGGCCGTCCCCTCTGCTTCCCAGTCCGCTCAGCTTCCCTGTCTATACCAACTCGCTTCCGCCTCCGAAAGCAAACCAGCAGCCGCGTCAGATGGTTTAAAGGACAAACGGCGCTTGCCGACCGTGCTGACCCCACTCGCCAGCAAGCCGTTCGGATGGGCACCTGCACCGGCTATGCCGACCGCCCCCTCCGCCAGACCACAGGGAGCGTTTCCAGGCTGGTGGGGAAGCGCACGGGTCCCGGCACACGTGTGAGACCTGGAACCCGGCGGGCGAGGAGCGCTCATGCCCCAGGACGGGTCCTGTGAGCAGTGACGGCGGGGTCTCGGGCCGCCCTGACACAGCCCGTTGAGAATGTTCTTTTTCCTTTCGGCCTCGGTCATCGGCCCCGATCCTGGGGCTCGTCCTCTCAGTTTATGAAGAGCCACAGGACGCAGTACAAAAACAGCAACTTTTCTCCAGCCAAAAAAAAGAGCCGAAACCCCAGCAAACATCGACAGGAAGCCTTGAGCGCCCAGAGAGACAGGATTTCATGTCGTCTCCTCATTAAAACCCCGTGACAACAAGGCTGACTCAGAAGCAGTTTCTTTCCTCCCTTTCCTCCTGGGTCAGCATCTGCCACAAGATCCCTGTTTATCTGCTGGGTGAAGGCAAGCAGGCCGTTCACCAGGGACGCACGACCGGGAACAGTGTGGCCTAGGGATGGGGCCCGGGGACAGTTACTCAACCACAGGAACATTCTGGTGCCACTGACAGAGGAAGCTTTTTTCTCTTTTAAATGCTAGGCAGGGTCCTCAACACGCCAGACACTTTTGAGTAGAGTAATACACAGCGGGGACCAGTTTGGAATGCAATGTATTTTTAAACACAGTGAAAGACACCTGGACAGAGTAACCGGACAAGTTAACTGAGTGTAAGATTGACCAGCTCGCGTCGACATTCACAGCCTCTGCAGTTTCACTCAGAGGAGACCACGTCCGACAGTTTTCCTGCTACATTTGTACGTTAGGAGAAGCGAGAGACCGTGATGAGAACCTCGATTCTCGGCCACCAGGAGGCAGCGCGGAGCCCAGGGGCATTAACGAGGGCTCCGCTGGCAATGCCGCCAGCTCTCGGAAGCCCCTGAGAGGAAAGGAGCTCTCCACTTCCTCCAAAGAAGGAAAGGCTCCCTGCAGCCGACTGCAGCGTCAGAGACGACTCAGAAGACAGAAGAGTCATCTGCAAGGCCAGCTGGTTGAAGTTTTTGCCGAGGGGCGGGGAGGGTGGGCACAGAGGCAGCGGGCACTGCCTTGTGCAGAGGGGAGGGGGCAGGGCGGGAAGAAAGCGCAGGCTGTGGGGCCTTAAGTCCACACCGCCAGCTCTCACTGCCACCCTCTCACCTGACGGCCGGGCCAGGGCCTCTCGGGACATCGGCACAAGAGACTTAAAAGGCAGTGCGCTCCCTTGGGGAGGTGGTGGCGACAGCCTGCGCTTCACCTCCTACAAACCACCCCCACCCCTGCCCCGGCAACACTCCTCACCAAGCACTCTCGAGTTAGAGAGAAAAGCCATCTGCAAAGATGTCGGTTTTCGTGTTTCTGTCATTAAAGACAGAGTGTGCGCGCACACACACGCAGTCCTCGATTACATTGTGTCAGAGAAGGAACAGTTTCTGTAAAAAGAAAGAAAGCTGTGTTATTAGGCCTTACACGTTAATACCAAAGTGATCGCTTGGATTTTCAGTAGTTTCACTAGTCCCCAGGATTCAGTAGCTAACACCAGTGTCACGTCCTTTGGCCTAGAGCGTGGCGGGCCTCACGGCATCCCTGAGCCAGGTGTTGAGGGCACGGATTCGGGAAACCCGCTCCGGGACACCGGGGAGATGTGGCCTGTGGCCGGCGAGGCTGCTGAAGGACCACCAGAGTGAGGGGCACCCTCTTTCACTGCAACATGATATCTTTCAGGTTTTCTTGCAGGATGGTGTCCTTGACGGCGTGAAACACGAAGCGGATGTTCTCGGTGTCTATGGCGGTGGTAAAGTGGTGGAAGAGTGGCTTGCTGCGATTCCGTCTCTTCCGGTCGAAACACTGGACCAGGTAGCGCTGGACGTCCTCCAGCCTGTGGGGGTCGCCCTTGAAGTCTGGGAAGTGCTTCTTGATGCTGACAGCCTTCACCTTCTCCACCAGGAGGTCCGTCTTGTTGAGGAACAGGATGATGGAGACGCTGAGGAAGAGCTTGTTGTTAACGATGGTCTCAAAGATGTTCATGGACTCCACCAGGCGGTTGGTGCGCCTGTCTTCCATGAGGACCTGGTCGTACTCACTGGACGAGACCATGAACAGGATCGACGTGATCCCATCAAAGCACTGGAACCACTTCTGGCGCTGAGACCGCTGGCCGCCCACATCCACCATCTTGAAAGGGATTTTTTTGATGACAAAGTCATGTTCCACGATGCCCTTGGTGGCCTTCCTCGCCAGCAGGATGTCCTGCTTGCTAGGAAAGTAATTCTGTAAAATAGGATAAGGGAGAAATTCAGGAGAGGAAGAACATGAGAAAACAAGAACAAAAAGATGGGGTGGAAGGAAAGAGAGTTACAGTGACTTTGGAGAGAAGCTGAACCAAATACCAGAAGCAACTTTCAATTACAAAAATATAAATTCACCATGAAACAAAAAGTGAAGGCACTAAACAGCTCATTTCAAAATGAACAAAGGCTCATCAGGCTGAGGAAGGATTATCAGAATCTTCACCGTTAGGCCCCAGTCTGCAACCTCATCGACTTTCTTCTCCACAGGAGACTTACATCTTCTTTTTTCCTGTACCACAGCTACCTTTCTGTTTTTCTAACTTCTAGGGCACACGCATTCCAAACCCTTACTATGAACTGATTTAACTTAGGTTTTGCAACGCTATTTAAATTTAGCCTGCAATATATTTAATATGTTATTCTTGGAGAACTCTTAAAGTCTTTAGCAGCACACGGGCAACTGTGCTCACTCAAACCACTTAGACCCTCTGCACTATTAACAATCCTCCAGTGAGTACTGCACACCAGCACTCATGCATCATCCTTGCCAAAAATCCAAACAGGGCTGAAGCCTCTAGAGCCAACTACCAATTCATGAGGTATAGAGGGGAGAGAGAAACGTCTTCAACAACACTGCGGGGATGGAGGAGCAAAATCGAGACGCGAGAAACCCTACAGGAGAAATGATGCAATTACTCCAACAAATACTTTGAAAGGAAGAAAAAGATGGAAGGAGAACCCCAAAGAATACAAGAGGTCTAAGTGCCATGGACCAGCTGCAATGGATGGGCCGTAATAGGATGTCGATTCAAACTACTAAAATAAAGCGGCGTCCACAAGAAAACATGCATGAGACAACTGGGAAAGTCTCAAAACTGACTTGACATTAAGGAATTATCGCTAATTTTTTAGGAGCAATAATGGCATTGTGGTCACCTGACACAACCAACATGGCTCCTGAGGACGGCGAAAGCCCTCACCGCTTGGGCTGCTTTGGTCCCCACACAGTGTTTTCTCATCCTGGGTCACGGACCCCTGGGGCGGGGTCTTACTCACCAGCTGGCCAATCCGGTCCAAGTTATCCAGGAAGTACTTCACTGATTCACCCTGTCGTGGAGGAAACAGAGCCACAACTCAGTCCTGGTTGAGGAACGCTGATTTGGTAAAATGACTGCTATTTTGCCTCTGTGTAAATAGGAAGGCAAAGTAAAAAGGCTAACAGCATACATGTATTTTTTTAAATTAAAAACACAATTAAAAAAATTTAAAAATGCAATTACTCTAGCTCTGATCCCAAGGTTCAAATTCAGACTGTGTTTTCCAAAGCGCCCCTGGCTTGACCCTGGTGATGGGCAGGGTGCTGACTCCCTTCCTTCCCAGATATGGAGACTGGCCTGCTCCAGGCCACGCCACCAGGGAGCTGGCGCATGAGGTTAAGTGCCCGTGAATGGTTTTGCTCCTGCAGAGCTGGCCCAAGGCACTCTAGCCACCTTCTTTGAAGCAGGCCCGTCTTTGAGGCACATGACAAAACATGCGCCAGTTTCTGGAAACAGGCCTGACGTTCCATTATTACGTTACACATTTGTACGACCTGATTTACAGCCTAGAATGAGGGGACTCTTTGGTCTGGATTTCCGTGCTGGGATGACTAGTCTTTCTCTACCCACTGGACGTTCTCCGGACTGAACGTCGATACAAACCAGGGCTGTTCAATAGCCAGAAGTGACCTTGAAAATCACCCACGGTGAGTGAACCACACAATGCGGCGGCACTCACGGGGCATAAGGAGCGTTTAGAGGGCCTTCAATGTCGATTAAATGGAGGGAACAGAGGAAGTGGAAGTGAACGGGCAAAAGCTCCCCTTAATAAGTGGGATGTTGATTATACCCCGTGTGCCCAGAGGACACGGCTTCCTGCAAGGTTGCACCCTGAGCCTCACTCTGCAGACAGGGACCAGCGAGCACGCTGGGAGAGTCCCCCAGGGAAGCCACGCCAGCACCGTGTTCTCACGACAGTGGAGGGTGGCAAGGAGGTGGCACTCTGGGCTTTTAAGGAGGAAGATCATCTGTAAGGTCCTAGACGGCAGCTTGAGCTGAGACTTCGTAAAAAACGATGAAGAAAGACAGGAGCGTCAAGCCCTGGTTCCTCCCTCCCCACGCGCCTCCTCCGGGCCTGAAGGAAGACACCGAGGGGTGGGCTTCCTTCAGTGAAGAATCAACCTTCCCATTTTAAAATGAAGGCCTGTGGGTGATTCGGCAGAGAGCATTTTGTGTAAGGAACAGAAACACACCTTCCCTGCGTCACAGCACAGATCACGATTTGCGATACGACCTTCCTCCTGGGCATCCGTGCTGTCAGGGCACAGGCCGACTCTGCCCTGGGAGGCTGGGGTCCGGGCCGGCACAAACACCTCGCCTCCAGCCGCGGCCCCCAGCCTGCACACAGCTCCTCCCCGTGGAGGGGAAGCTGGGCTCAGTGCGGCGGGAGGTCGTGCCCCTTCCCGCAGCTGCCGACCATGCCCTGCCGATTGGCACAGCCTGCGTCCTCCCGTGGCCGGACAGGAAACAGCTGGTGAGTGAAGAGTGGACGCCAGCCCACCTGATTTACGGCTGCTCCTCCCCCAAAGCTCCCATCGCTCTTGCCTCCCACCGCCTCTCATTCGGGGCCCTCGGAGGCGCGACGGGAGCTCAAGAACAATCAAGGCGCTGCCCGTGTCCCCCGCGCATCCTTCCAGGGAGGCGGGGCAGCGGGAGCTGCCCACAGCCGGCCTCCTGCCCGACTTGGGCGGGGGCTCCAGGCACAAAGACAGTGGGACCAGCCCCCGCTCCCACCACCACCCGGCCAGCGGTCTTGGCCTGATTGGGCACAAAAAGTCACGGCGACGCAGACACCCCGGCCATGTTCTGTCACCACGGCATGACAGTCGTCCCAGTGGCAGGCACTGCGACATGGGTGCAAGTGCCGAACCTCGACACACAGACGTGACGTGCAAAATGCCCCGAGGACACAAGTAGGCATGAGCTAAACACAGATTATTAAGAAGGGGAGGAAATCCTTTTCCCCCAGTTTCACTTTATTTCCAACGATTGCGTTTGAAATCAGGGTCAGACCAATGGACCTTAAAACACACCACATGCTAACATAAATGGACCTTTACAGTTTGTTTCTCCACCAGAACAGTCTGTTTAATCATCTCACCAGCTTGTTTCACGACCTCAAAGGCGGTGACTTATTGGTGACTCTGCTGCTCTGCATGGTTTGGTGGCCTCGACTCTTTCCAGGAAGAATCATGTATGACATCGGAGAGGGGAGAAATCCTGCCTCACCTGGACAATAAGCTACCGGGTCCGCGCTAGAGCCGCTGTTGAACCGTAAGGCAGAGGACTGCACCATTCTGCTCTCCAACGTGGGGCGAGCGGGAAGGGGACAGGAGGGGATGAGAAACCAACGTACTCAGACCAGAAATTGGCCCATAACCTCCGCGCGCGGTGCCATCCTACTGGGCTGAGTTGGAACCGCGGTCGAGGTCACTGTGGTTTATTGCCAGAGACTGGAGAGCACGTCACTCCACTGGACATGTAGCAATAGGCTTCACGACCCCCACAGCGTCAGCTCATTTAAAGGTCCAGGTTTACACTTCTGATCTATCCTTAACACCAGGAGGACGCGGTCATTTCTTCAGAAAATAGTGTCTGGCAGAACCTGAGATGCTAAACTGAGATTAACCACTCAGACTTTGCTACAGACTGAATGTCTGTGCCCCCTGCCCCCCATTCACATGCTGAAGCCTAATCCCCAGTGTGACGGTGTTAGGAGGTGGGGTCTCGGGGGGTGCTGAGGTCATGAAGAGGGAGTCCTCACGATGGGATCAGTGCCCGTATTAGAGGGACCCCAGAGGGCTCCCTCCTGCCTCTGCCATGTGAGGACACAGCGAGAAGACGCTGTCTATGAACCAGGAAGCGGGCCGCCACCCGACACTGAATCTGCCTGTGTCATGGACGACCAGCCTCCAGAACTGTGAGAAATAAATGCTTGTTGTTTAGTCTGTGGTATTTTTATTACCGCAGCCTGAATGCACTAAGATAGCACCGTGGTAGAAAGAGGCGACACGATCCCAGAGTCTTCTCCTGACAGCTACTGGGGCAACGTGGTCTAACAAAAAGGAGTAAATGGAAAACGGGCTTTTTACAATCCTGCTTGGTTTGAAAAATCTATATCACTTAAGATTACTAAAAACAGGGATTCATGGATTAGACAAAACACAACAAATTCATTAGCTCAGAGGCCACCAAACACATACTTGACATCAGCCTGCCCTCCCGACCCAACGCTCCCAGCAAAGCACTGACGCTTACTAGCTCTAGATGGATGGCTGAGGCGGGGCCTCGTGGGTGGAGAGGGGGCTGTCTGTTTCGAGAGGCAGCAGCAGGTTGCTCTGGGGCCCGTGCAGCTGTGCCAGGCACAGATGCCGAGTGTGGCATGAGGGACGTGCGCAGGGTCCAGGCTCATAGCACCAGCGAAGAGAATCATCTTTTTGGCAAATGGACTCTGTTCTTCACCAAATCTTCGCTGGACGCTCCTACTACCCACAGCTCTAGCAAAGGTCATACACACTCAGGGCTCCATATTCGAGGCTTCTTTCTGTCCGGCATCATCAGACAGACCCTCCTGCACACCCACCCCACCCTCCGTGACAGCCCCCGCAATACTGAAGCCGCTCCTCCGTCGCACGTCAGCCTCGGGCACCCATTCAGCCCATTTAGGCCTGAGGACAGAGCCTCAGCTCTTGCAGCGCTGAGCAAGCCCACTCTGGTCACATCTCTTTCTCTGCCAGTAATTGATCCACTCTCCCATACTTGGTTGAATTCTGGTCCTTTCTGTCAGTGTCACAGGGGAGCCGTGTGCATGAAAGAGAGCCCGTCCAGGTCAAGAATCACTGGCAGAGCCCCGCAGGGGATGGAGAAAGGACAGAGGTGGGCGTGGGTTAGTCCGAGATGCAAAGGTGGAGGCGGGAAGCAAGCAAGGGCCAGCGAGTGGTTACAGAGGAAACAAACACTAACGTCCACTTCGGGACAGGCAGCTTTCCAGTTCCTAGTCCTGTATCTGTCTACACACGAGCGGTTCCTATGTTCCTGTACTCAGCGGAAGTAATTCTAAAATTCTAACACAGGGCTTGTCAATGTGAGCACGAGGATTCAAAAATTTAGTTCACTTGCTTAGACACAGCAAATTAGGAAGACAAACTTCAAAACTGCTGTATATTAAAAACAAAAAACTATTCTAAATGTCAGATTTTCATTACTTAATAAATATTGAATTTATGATTTAATTTCCATTTAATAGAGATGCTAACCAACAACCTGTCTGAATAGAGAACTTTTAAAAATACTTTAGAGGATAGACCTTCAAGATGGCAGAGGAGTAAGACACGGACATCACCTTCCTCCCCACATATACATCAGAAATACATCTACATGTGGAACAACTCCTACAGAACACCTGCTGATACATAGATATATTTTTTCCCTTTTCTCTTTTTTTGAGTATGTATATGCTTCTTTGTGTGACTCTGCATACCTTTGCTTTAACCATTTGTCTGTCCTTTTTTTTTTTTTGTATAGTTTTTAGCGCTTGTTATCATTGGTGGATTTGTTTCTTGGTTCGGTTGCTCTCTTCTTTCTTTCTCTTTTTATTATTACTTTTTAATTTTTCCTTTTAAATAATTTTTTATTTTAATAACTTTATTTTATTATTATTATTTTCTTTCTTTCTTTCCTCCCTTTTCTTCTGAGCTAGCAGGGTCTTGGTGCTCCAGCCGGCTGTCAGGCTTGTGCCTCTGAGGTGGGGGTCGAGTTCAGGATACTGGTCCACCAGAGACGTCCTGACTCCATGTAATATCAAACAGCGAAAGGTCTCCCAGAGATCTCCATCTCAACGCTAAGGCCCAGCTCCACTCATGACCAGCAAGCTACAGTGCTGGACACCCTATGCCAAACAACCAGCAAGACAGGAACACAACCCCACCTGTTAGCAGAGAGGCGGCCTAAAATCATAACAAGGTCACAGACACCCCAAAACACACCACCGGATGTGGTCCTGCCCACCAG